GACTTTTTTCGTCAGCCACCAAGCACAACAACACCTGCACTTCTGCATTTGACCACGGCTTTGATATTATTGTTTTTTTTTTTATAGCTTCAAAATACTAAAAGATACGCTCCTCGTGTTATAGCTAATGACAAGCGTAGAGAAAATATGGTGGATCGGGTTGTTTGGAAAGACTCCACAGACTCCTCCCCCCGACCAATCAGTGACCGACGGTGTTTCTGACGTCACGGCTTGGCTCGCTTGGACCCCTTGAGAAGCCGGTCCAGAATTTAGCGAGGCGAGCCGGTCACAGGAACAGTGGAAAGACCTCAAACGCGCGTGAAGCCGGAAATATCCGACCCGCGCCGTGATAGTGGAAAAGGGGCAATAGATGCACCTCATTCATTATATGTTGTCAGCCTTTCAAAACTGTAAACATATATAACACATTTGACCTCTTTTCCTTTAAAACAAAATTTCTACATGTCCCTCAACTGCCTACTCTAAAAACTAACCTGACCCTATTACTACTTTAATAACACCACAATGTTCAACAGGTCTCTCCTGGACCTTTGCATGTCACTCTTGAACTTCATATCTTTATAACCTAGGTGTATATTTTAAAGATCCTCCCGTTTCAATAAGCACTGCTATAACCAACACGTCATTTATAGCTGTGCTCTTTGACCAGTCTGCGTCCAGCCGCAGACCTCAAGGGGACTATCACCAAAAACAGGATCCCTGGGCCGACAACTTCTTTCAGAGAGTTAGCAAAGCTCTGCACAGGCAACCACAACTCAGTAGAGTTTCTTAGAACTGTCAGACGACCCACACCTCTTAACGTTTTTCCCGACGCTCAAGTTTTAAAGCATTTCTAGTAAACAGCGACAGGCAATTACACCCGGAACATCTTCGGACTGCGCAAGCTTTTCGTAAAGATTTTACCGTCGGCATAAATGGCGTTATAATTTTCACGCGGGGCTTTCAACCTCCAGTCACGCCGTTTCTTTAATTTCATCTAAAATCAAACAAAAGTTTATGTATGGGCTTTTAACTCAACCGGATGATTCTTAATTTCAGGGAAAATTAGCGTTTCACATGTTTATAACGCTCTTGGACCACTTCCGGTTAGCAAGTTGCTAACGTTTCCGGTCCGCTCCCACATGATGTCACGTATATAAACTTTTACATCCAATAAATACATTCACAAAATCACGTATTGTACTGTAACGTTTTATTGCCTTTTAGTTCACTAAACTGCGTGCACAAAAACCGAAAACAGAGCAGCCTGAAGTCCTTAAGGGACATGCGACATTCGATTTAACAGGTTTTCTACTTACCTCATGACATAATAGTTGGCTTGTTCAGTCTGCTCAGATCTGAACTGCCGTTTGGTGCATAAGCACAAACGGCAGTCAGAACCCATCCCCCCACACGTAGGTGGAGGGAGGCTACCCTCTCATTCACCGGAGTGAATCCCAACACACAGGCACCAAGATGGGGGGCAACAAGTATGCCCACTCCTGCTCGGCACCTCTCACCAGGGGCAACTCCAGAGTGGAAGAGTGTCCAACCCCTCTCAAGGAAACTGGTTCCAGAGCCAGAGCCATGCGTAGATGTGAGTCTGACTATTTCTAGCCGGAACCTCTCAACCTCACACACCTGCTCAGACTCCTTCCCCACCAGTGATATGACATTCCACATCCCAATAGCCAGCTTCTGTAGCCAAGGATCAGACCGCCAGGGTCCCCGCCCTCGGCTACCACCCATCCCACATTGCACCCGACCCCTTTGGCCCCTTCCCCCATGGGAAGGGGGACCCACGTCTCCTCTTCGGGCTGTGCCCGGCCGAGCTCCATGGGTAAAAGCCCGGCCACCAGGCGCTCGCTCTTGTGCCCCAGAGTGGGGCCCCGGTGACCCACGTCCGGGCGAGGGAACATCGAATCATTTTATTTTTCTCATCATAGGGGTGTTTGGGCTGCACTTTGTCTGGTCCCTCACCATGACTTAATATAATTGATAAAACTTAATTCACAGCTCCTTGAGTTATTGATAGTGTAGGTTACCGCTTCTGAGGGAGGGGTGAACTGGGAGCCTCTGTGGCTGGAAGTGGGGCCTGGGGGTCTGGAATAAGACCTGCAGTACACACACTGACCAGCAACACTGGCTGGCGTAATGTAATAGGAGCTTCTGATGAGGTCACACCAAGGGCATTCCCAGTGTGAGACACGAAACGAATGCTCTGAAAGAGAACTACCTCTTTTCTTATACACTGTAACTTTTACCCACTTGAATATGTTGAAACAAAAACAGACATGTTTCATCACCCCAGCTGTAAATTCAAGGTCACAAATCAAGATCAAAGGTTATTCAAGGTCTTTGCTTGTACGGGATATTGTTATAGATTGCTGTATCATAGTTTGTTGACAGGCGTATAATGTGTCGTATGTAATACCCTTGTTGTGTTTTGCTGGGTGGTCATCTTGAAATGGATTGACTCCAAAAGTTAATCAATTGTATGCACATCCAGTATTACTTTCTAAGAGTTTCAATAAAATTTTGCAGTGAGTTATGAGATATTTCTCTTAACACACACGGGCAAAAACAATAACTTGTCTTTCAGCAACGGGTGATAAAACAATGTATATGAAGAGAACTAGAGAATAAAACCAAGACTTGAAGTAGTGAAGGTTCTTTACCGTATTTTTCGCCGTACATGTTGCACCGCCCTATAAGTCGCATCAGTCCAAATATGTCTAATACGGTGGAAAAATCCATAAATACGTTGCTTCGCCGTATACGTCGCATCTATTGTGTCACAGCTGATGCGTCGCGTTTGTTATGCGTTCACCGCTGATAACCCGAATATGTGGGCTGAATACAAAAAAGTGGGCCGAACCCAGAAATATGGGCGGGTGTTGTGCCAAAAATCGATTGGCTGCCAAATAGCGGCCACCAGAGCGTGCACAGGAGGACTTTAACAAGATTAACAATTAAAAACAATTATTTGTTTGCTTGAAATTATAGTAAAGGTGTGTCTCAATTTAACTTTTGCTTAATAATTGCACTTTGACAGTCAAATCAGCTGCATTTCAAAACCGGATTCGCAGAAGCAGTGCGCACAGAGGGATGAGTCGCTGCACATTTCTTCAAAATTTAACAAGATAAACACCTAAAAACAATTATTTGCTTGCTCAATTTTATAGCAAAGGTGCGTCTCAGTTGAACTGAATAAATGCACTTCAGTGGTCAAATTTAGCTGCATTTCACTGGGGAGGCGCAGTGAAATAAAGCTGATGTGACGGTTGCTCCAAGCGAGCAGAACAAAAGTGGCCATCTATGGCAAGCCAATTGTGTCATTAATAGCCATTTTTACCTATTACATGATACAACTAGGGATGCACCGATCCACTTTTTTTACTTCCGATCCTATCCCGATACCTAGATCTGAGTATCGGCCGATACCGATCCAGTTCCGATATCATGATCATCATTGATTTTATATGAGGCTGTAATAATCTCCTCTCAAGTACAATTTGTACAAATATATGCATGCATGTCCAAAAAGGCAACTTGAGGTAAGTTTTATTAATGTTGGATAAGTTTTAAAGTTAGAATTAAATTCTGCTAACACAAAACATGTTTCTTTTTATTCCTAGCTTTAAAGTGGATATTAAAGTGATTAATTTAAGTGATTGTTTAAAGTTATTTTATATTTTATAAGGGGCAGATATAAGAATTGTTTTTCTTCTTTCTGCACTCTTTTCATTCAATGTTTTCTTTTAGATGATTTTTTTTTTTATTTTGTTTCATTTAAATGAATGAATAAATGAATTTAATTAAATAAAATGTTAAATGGCTTCAAACATCTAAGTTCATGGCATAAACCAACAGACATGTTCCTGTTTTTAGTATTTTACATCAGTTTATAATTTAGCTGTTTATGTTTTTAATATATATAATTTTCAAATCACATGTTTTTAATGATTTTCTACTGTTGTACTGGTAAATATCTCCTGGGGGGTAAACTATATCTTGGATGCAAGTATCAAGCTGCAAAATCCTTCGTTTTCTACAACTGATAGTGGTTGGTCATTAATTATGATGAAGTTTAGCAACTTCTCTGTAAACATTTGAGCTCCGTGGTTTCAGCTATGTTTTCTTCTTGTTCAATCCGAAGCAGGCAGCCTGATTTGGGGCAGCCGCCCTCAGTCTGTCCCTCCTCGGAGACGGGCAGACTGAGCGGGGCAGATTGGACGCGGCTGACCAGGGTCAAGTCGCCTGTTGTGGGCTGAGCAAAGAGCAATGCCCCGCTGAAGCCACGGAGCTCGAATGCCCATCGTAAAACTAACTTTACCGTGGTTTAATGTGGCACTATGGCTCTGCAGACATTGCACAATGCTGTCTTGTTTTGTGTTTTTTTAGTGTAAAATACTTCCACACAGCGGACATGTTTCGATGAAAACTTTGTTAGCAGTTAGCTACAGTGCTGCTAGCTCAGCCTTCACGTTGTAGCTGGCTGCAAACTACGAAATGGATTTCCTGAATGTGAGGCAGGTCTTATTACTCTGGGTTCATGAGACACGCCGCCGTTCAGGAAATCCATTCCATAGTTTGAAGCCAACTTGCATCATGGATCGGAAATATCGGCAGGTGGATCGGAAAATCCGATACGTAAATTATGCTGGTATCGGAGGCCGATACCGATACTGGATCGGATCGGCCCCATCCCTAGATACAACGGCATGTCATACTACTCGAGTGCCGTCTAGCGGCTGAAAATGGTAGTGTTCAATATTTTCAGTCAGAATGAATGAAAATGGTCCTATCTCAGCCAAAAATTGGTTTATAAATATGGGAAAAATCCATAAATACGTCACTTTGGCAAATAAGTCGCAGGGCATATAAATTATGCACACAAAAAAAAAACATGACTTATACAGCAAAAAATATGGTACATTAAAAATACTAAACCTAATTAAATGATAACTGCTTTAGTTGAGTGCCAACCCTGTTTTTAGTGTCCACAGTGCCCCAAAACCTTCCTAACCAGGACTGAGCTGCGTGTGCACGAATCGACTAAACATCGAGGTGAAAAACCATTTGTGTGTGAGGAGTGTGGCCATCGGGCGTCCAGTCGAAACGGCCTGATGATGCACATTAAAGCCATCCACAGGTTAGAGCCATCTATTTGTTGTACATTTTTTATTGGAGTAGTGGATTCTGTAGTTTGTTTGGTCATTTAATTGTTAAAAAGGTAAGAACTTTATTGCTGCCATGGTTAGACGTTTACTTCAGATGAAAAAACTGACAACCCAGACGGCACAAACTCAAAGATGTCAAATGATTTCAGAGAAGCAAGCATTGCCCATCTATCTGGTCATGGTTAAAGGTTACTTGAAGATTTATTCACAAATAGATAATGATCCAGGGAGCTGCTCATCTTCCAGCACATCAGAGCCCACAGGGCTCAGAGAAATGACAGAAAACATAAAACAGCTTAATTTCAACTTTAGTTAATTTGTTGATATGTGGCAGCACAGTTACAAAAAGACTGTGGAGTGGGCTTGTTTGGGACGGTTTGTCAGAAGTTCTCTAATTTTTGAAAATATGATCGCTTGGCTTAGTTTCTGTCTAAATCAGTAAAATATCAAATAGACACCTATTCTGTAGTTTGTTCATTCATTTCCCATTCGACGAGATTTTTCAATTGAATAATTTGGAGTGTGTAGAGTTCCAAGCTGTTCTAACAAGATAAGGACCAGCTTCACCTCCATGAAGATCTGCACCCTGCTGGACCTCTGTCATTTCACAACTTCTTTCAAGTTCAATGGCTGTTTTTATAGACAGGCATGTCTGTGCCATGGGATCTCCAGCATCACAAATTATCTACATATAGATGGAGAGAGACGCCTGGACTCCTTCAAGGGAACACCAAACCGCTGGTCCTCACATCTGTATGTGAGGACCAGCACATACAGATACAATACCTGGGACAAAATTCAAGGAAGTAGAAGCGTTCACCAGACACATAAACTCTGTGGACAACATCAAATTTACCAGAGAGGATGTTAATGACATCCCTACTTCAATAGAATGAAAATTGTACAGGTCCTTCTCAAAAAATTAGCATATTGTGATAAAGGTCATTATTTTCCACAATGTAATGATAAAAATGAAACTTTCATATATTTCAGATTCGTTGCACACCAACTGAAATATTTCAGGTCTTTAATTGTTTTAATACTGATGATTATGGCATACAGCTCATGAAAACCCAAAATGCCTGTCCCAAAAAATTAGCATATCATGAAAAGGTTCTCTAAACAAGCTATTAACCTAACCATCTGAATCAACGACGTAACTCTAAACACCTGCAAAAGATCCCTGAGGCTTTTAAAAACTCCCAGCCTTGTTCATTACTCAAAACCGCAATCATGGGTAAGACTGCCGACCTGACTGCTGTCCAGAAGGCAATCATTGACTCCCTCGAGCAAGAGGGTAAGACACAGAAAGAAATTGCTGAATGAATAGGCTGTTCCCAGAGTGCTGTATCAAGGCACCTCAGTGGGAAGTCTGTGGGAAGGGAAAAGTGTGGCAGAAAATGCTGCACAATGAGAAGAGGTGACCGGACCCTGAGGAGGATTGTGGAGAAGGGCCGATTCCAGACCTTGGGGGACCTGCGGAAGCAGTGGACTGAGTCTGGAGTAGAAACATCCAGAGCCACCGTGCACAGGTGTGTGCAGGAAATGGGCTACTGGTGCCGCATTCCCCAGGTCAAGCCACTTTTGAACCAGAAACAGCGGCAGAAGCGCCTGACCTGGGCTACAGAGAAGCAGCACTGGACTGTTGCTCAGTGGTCCAAAGTACTTTTTTCGGATGAAAGCAAATTTTGCACGTCATTCGGAAATCAAGGTGCCAGAGTCTGGAGGAAGACTGGGGAGAAGGAAATGCCAAAATGCCAGAAGTCCCGTGTGAAGCACCCACAGTCAGTGATGGTCTGAGGTGCCATGTCAGCTGCTGGTGTTGGTCCACTGTGTTTTATCAAGCGCAGGGTCAATGCAGCTAGCTATCAGGAGATTTTGGAGCACTTCATGCTTCCATCTGCTGAAAAGCTTTATGGAGACGAAGATTTCATTTTTCAGCACGACCTGGCACCTGCTCACAGTGCCACAACCACTGGTAAATGGTTTACTGACCATGGTATTACTGTGCTCAATTGGCCTGCCAACTCTCCTGACCTGAACCCCATAGAGAACCTGTGGGATATTGTGAAGAGAAAGTTGAGAGACGCAAGACCCAACACTCTGGATGAGCTTAAGGCCGCTATCGAAGCATCCTGGGCCTCCATAACACCTCAGCAGTGCCACAGGCTGATTGCCTCCATGCCACGCCACATTGAAGCAGTCATTCATGCAAAAGGATTCCCGACCAAGTATTGAGTGCATAACTGAACATGATTATTTGAAGGTTGGTGTTTTTTGTATTAAAAACACTTGTCTTTCATTGGTAGGATGAAATATGCTAATTTTTTGGGACAGGCATTTTGGGCTTTCATGAGCTGTATGCCATAATCATAAGTATTAAAACAATTAAAGACCTGAAATATTTCAGTTGGTGTGCAATGAATCTGAAATATATAAAAGTTTCATTTTTATCATTACATTATGGAAAATAATGACTTTTATCACAATATGCTAATTTTTTGAGAAGGATCTGTATATCAGAATAATTACAAATTGTGTTAATCTAATTGTTTTTAAATCATGTGATTAGAAGCAGATAAAACGTTGGTTACGTACTGTAACCCCAGATTCTATGAGTATAAGCGTAGCCCTTTAAGGCCTTCGCTTTAGTGGGTTTATCCCGTTATGCAGAGCATAAGCACTGAAAAAATTAGTCCACGCCCACCTGCTGTGTGGGCCCCACCCGGTCCGTATAAATTACGTTAAGAGCGGGAAATCGGCTCCCAAAATAGCTTTTTCTTCAGCCATTTAGGAGCCAGTGAGGCCCGACGCTTAAAGGGCTACGCTTATACTCATAGAATCTGGGGTTACAGTACGTAACCAACGTTCTATGTCGTATAAGCTTCGCCCTTTAAGGCCTTCGCTTTAGTGGGTAAAGGGCGAAGCCGATGTGGTCCTCGCCTCACTGGGTCCATTCGAACACAGTAAGAAGCAGAAGCTTGCCCAAAAAATGTCTTGTCACTCAGCTCCCCGTGTGCATAACTACGCATCGCGTAATTATGTGCCATGCACAGACGCATGTTGAGTAACTATGCGTTCTGACAAAGCATGAATGCCCCGGAAAACTTTCAACGGGAAGAAGAAGTTGAAAAGGGGGGGGGGGGGGGCATGAACCAACTGGTTCATGGTTGAACAGTATAAACAGATTAATGTCCATGAATTGATTATTGATCAAATGAACTGATTGGTAACAATAGTCATGAACTGATTAGTGACAATAAGACCAAAATCACAGACACGACTTGTGACTGATAACAACATCTCACACTGTAATGCATGCAGACAGAAGTGAGCTTAAACAGAGTTCCATGAGAACAACAATATTCATTCTGTTAGAGCACTAAGGACAGAATGTGTCATGGAACGAGCCGTTACATCACGTAGGTAAACGCGAATAAATGAGCAGGGTGTTGACCATGCAGCCGCAGTGCAAATGTCCTGCATTGACATACCATTATGCAGAGCAGTCGAAGATGCGATACCCCTGGTCGAGTGTGCTTAGAGGTTGACAGGAGGCCCTAAATCTGATGCTCTGTAGGCTTCAGAAAAGGCCCACACAGCCAGTGTGACAAGCGCTGGATGGATAACGGCGACCTGCAGAAGCATCTCTATAATGCACAAACAATTGTTGAGTTTGAAACGCATTGCAGCTGTGCGCGTTATGTAACACGTCAACGCCCGCACCGGGCAGAGAAGATGAAAAGATGCTTCCTCTTCTGATCTGTGGGGGGGAAAAGACCCCTCCAACGATATCACTCTTGATTTAAAAGAGCTCGTGATGTTTTAGGCATAAAAGCTGGGTTGGTCTTAAATCAGCTGAGCTGCCCGTCAGCCTAAATTCTAAGGCATGACGAAGCAACAGAGAGGGCAGATAATTACTTATCCTCTTAGCGGGTGTTAAAACCAGCAGCAGGGCTGTTTAAAGAGACAAGAATTTAAATGAAACCTGATCCAGAGGCTCAATTGGAGCTTTGATCAGGGCTCGCAGGACCAGCGTTAAATCCCACTGTGGAGCAAGTGGACGTGAAGCAGGCCTGTGTCTCTGAACATCTTTTAGAAAAACGCTTCATCAGCGGGTGATTAAAAGCTGTTCTGTCTCCGAAACCTTCGTGGCAGGAATAGATGACTGCAACGTACGTTAAAGCGTACTGAAAACCAACTCCCTATCCATCAGCTGTTGTAGAAAAACAACACGCCGCCTAAAAGGCATGAGGTGGCCTCTAAACCTTCTCTGTACACCAGCGCTGAAAAGCCGTCCCCTTTGATGTGTACAGAAACTGTGGTAGATGCAGCACGTGAATCTTGAATTGTGCACACTATCTCCTGAGGGAGACCCATCCTCTAAGTGGGACCGCTCAGCGGTCAGACCCACAGGTGTTGACCTATTTCTGGGTAACTCTTGGTCGCTCCTCCTGCCTGAAGGAGAGCATCCTCCCTCCACGACAGTTCCACGGCGACCCGACAACAGACGTTGCAGGCCTGGGAACCATGGTGCGTTCACACGCCGGGAGCCACCAGGAGAGCTGTCAATCCCTCCTCCTGAACTCGGTTCAGGAACCGTAAAAAACAGAGGAGGTGGGGGAAAAGAAACGCGTATAAAAGCGTTTTGGGCCACCGGCTGTGAGCAAATGCGTCCCCCCCCAGCGATGGGTCGTCTCGCGGGCTCAGGGAAAACCATAGTTGACACTGAGCGTTCTTCTCGCGTCGCAAACAGGTCTACAGCTGTTTTGCCAACTTCTGCTGCGTCTGAAAAACATCAGGTCTGGATGGAGGGTCCGGTCCACGTGACGTGGGCCGCCCCTGGACGTCACATCTGCCTCTCTGTTCAGAACACCGGATATGTAAACCGCTCTAATAAAGAGCAGGTTTTGATTAACCCAACACAGTAGCTTTCGCACAATGTGTAACATCTGGACTGAACGCACACCCT